GGATGCGACGAGACTAGTGAAGCGAGAAGAGCGTGCTGATACGGCGGAGGATGAATGAGAGAAGAGGAGGAAGGATGCACGGAGAGTGGCGGGGATGATGGGATGCGATGGGATGGAGAGAGAGAGAGAGACACGACGGTGAGAGATGGCCTTCGAGGCTGATTGTGAGATCCGGCCGACGAGACGGCTGCCAGGCTGGGATTCCAAGAGCAACAATCCGAACCGCACCGCAACGCAACGCAACGCACCGCACTCGCCGCTCCATATTATTGACTCGCCTCGCCTCGACTGCGCTTCAGCTTCACCGTGCGCGATGGCCTTTTTTTGATCGAATGGGAGGCGGCGCTTTTGGCTGTTGTAGTGCTGTTTGTAGAGCTGTGGGTTGCTTTTTTCTTTTTTCGCGCTCTGTTAGGTTTGTGTTCATTTTCTTCTCCACAAATCAGCCCCGTCGCGTGTCGAGGCGAGAGACAGGCCGACCCCGAGCTCAGGGGCCGATGCGATGGATAATGGCACGGGAAGCGTCGCGCGATCGCTGCCAAAAGCCAACGCGGGACCAGATCGATCGGGCGCCCCGCCCAATCCCATTTGGGTGGCCACGCCGGCCAACACGAGAGTGGTGCAAGTGCAAGCCATGGGCGTCAAGCGAGAGTCGAAGCGAGGCGCTCCTCGCAGCAGCTGCAGACACCGCAGCCTCTGCCAAAGGATGCAACTGGAGGCAGAGCCATGGTAGACAGCATGCAGCTCACGCGCATCGACCCGGAGATCACCCGAGCCGGAAGACACAGTCCGATCGGATCGCCCGTCGATTGAGCTTGAGACAAAAAAGAGGAGCGGGGCTGGCGCTTCAGTCCGACTCTCCGCCGGTGTTGGGCGCGCAGATTATGCTTTTGTTCACGGCGAGAGATCATCGGAGGCGTGCCGATCGATGATCGATTGGAGAGAGCCTCAAGGCAAGTCAAGTCGAGCCAAGGCAAGCAGCGTGATTACAGAGCCAGAGCCAGAGCCAGAGCCGAATGTGACGTTTGCAATGAGCTGGATGGAGGCAGCTCGTGCGGACAAATGTGCGGACGAAGGTGCGGGTGGGATGGTCGATGCGTTGCGGCTGCGCCTGGGCGTCGGCGTCGTGGCAAACGCCGTCGGGGTGCAGTGCAGTCGAGTGCATTTCGAGTGCATTTCGAGTGC